TGAGTGCGCGTGTTACGCCTTTTGGAAGTTGTGTGGAACAACAGAGCTGTTCAGGTTACGATCTCGTGTGAGAACTCGCCGGTCGAAATCGGTACAGCGTAATCCGAGATTTCAAAGGGCGGAAGCAGATCTGTACTGCATGGGATTCGATCGAAATTCACCGCATGCGGGCCTAATGCGCATCACTTAAGTAAACCGAGGCGTGGTTTCTGGACGGATCTTCAATGACGTTATTTTCTTGCAAAAGCGACATGCAGGCCAGTTAATAGCGAATTCCAAGACGACGAACGGCTTTTGAGAACCAGTTCATATCACCCATGCACATCCCTACGTTTGGTTGCATGATGCCCAGCTGACCGGTTTTGTTCGAAGTATCCCGTCCTATTGAGCCGTGCTCTACAGCTCGGGTGAAATATGAGACAATCAGCAACGGGCCACGTTGGAAGCTCGTGGGGATGATGTACCGCTAGACTGCCGACCGTCAGGCCAACAGATAAAGGAGAAGCTCATGACAATTCTCCGCGCACAACAATGTAGAGAACGATGCATTTATTTGCGCCAGTTTCGTCGCCCGGATTCTTGATATGCAATTGCATGCCCGGCGAAGAAGGCAGTACTTTAAAGACATGTCAGTGCGCCGAAACAAGTTCCTTCTCAGCAGCATTTCAACTTCCGTTGGAACTTGTCACTTCAACGCTAATCACAGACTGTGCCAGCCGGGGCAGCATCTGTTGGCAGTTGGTTGGGCTGCACACGGAATAATATTCATATGTGGCGGATCTGCAGTACGCATGTGCTGGTGGACGAAACAGCTGGTGGACGGGCGTCGCAGATGCGACAAAGCGTCTGTAATCGGGTGTGGAGAAGTTTGAAGCATGAACTCTTCGCTATAAAGGTTGTTGATCGAAGAACCTTGTCACGGAAATGCGAAGCGTACAACCCCCATTGGCTTGAGATCACCAATACTCCTGAATGAAATCTGCTGTCATGTCAAAAGGGACGGGTCACGAGGCCCGGTATGCGTTTACAATCCACGTGGCGGGGAAACCATTGGGGCGGCAAGCAGGAACTACAGCGGAGGTCACAGTCGGAGAACATTGTGATAACGAAGGGTGGCTAGCGTCGGTAAAGAAGGTTTGACTACGCGACAAAATGGCGCGGAAAAGTTGTACTTTTAACCGTCGGAGGAATTGAGCCCAACCAAGAATTTTTTT